AACCGACCCATCGGAAAAAACTAAGTTGCAAAACTCTTTAGAATTACTTTCGAAATCTGCAAACATGGGATAAAGCCTGCAAAACTCGCTTATAAGAAGAGATGGAGTTAATTGCAGTCGAATCGGGATGCTTTTAAATATCTGGGGCTCAAACAAATTCCGATTTAAAATTGCCAAAACTTGAGTTGAAGGCTTATTCTTCTGCAGCTCAATCTGTTAAAGAATATATATTGTGAATACAAATGTAAATATTTACAATTACAAAATTTTTAATAAGTAATAAAATTATCCCTAAACAAATATTATTGTTTTTAACTCAAAAAGCACATTTTTAGTAATTATGGGGCAAAAGTAATTCTTGAATAACTATTATTACTAAAATCATAATAATACAATTAATTGCTTATCACTAATAACTATTTACGTAAAATTATAAAGGACAGTTCCACAAAAAAACAATGTTTATATTACAAAAAATTTAAATTGGGTATTTTATTTGTGTCATCAGAGCATAATTGAAGGACACACCAAGGAAATAGAAGACTGTCTGGTTCTATATATTTAATACCAGATGAAATTTCAGCTGTGATGTAAGCAGAATAACTTTTAATAATTAACTTTTGCGCTTTGAAAATACGTTTTTCATTTTCTGTTAAAATTTCAAGAATTTTATAGAATTCTAATTTATTTCCATTTGTGTCAGAAACAATGTCACCTTGCTTATAAAATATTCCATTAATGACTGCACTTGAAATCAAACCATCCTTAAACTTTAATTGATCAACCTCTCCATAAACATCACATCGTCTTTCTCCAAAAGAATTAAAAAACAATCCAGTTGTATTTACAATCATTGCTTTGCAAGCTGAATATGGAATGTTTTTAAAATTGAAATGTCTGAAATTTTTTATTACTTGATGTTTACGTTCAAATGCAAGACAGAGATGCCCACGTAATGAGCCAAATTGAGATGCTTGTGATGGATAGTGTACAAGAAAATGTAGTTTTGGAATAAAACTGTTTGAATATAATTGAAGGAAACTGCAATGATGTGCTTGAATACAAACCCTTAGGTCCTTAATATAAATATCAGTTATTAACGGAGACATACATAGCTGCACTATTTGTATAAGTTTAACTAAGCATGAAAGATGAGGATCAGATAAATCCATAAATCTTAATAAATAAAAACACAGCACACGAGAGAGAGTTAATATTTGTCCACTACCAAATTGTCCTCGGATTTTAAGTGAAGGTAAAATAATACCAGGCTTTTCAATACCAGAAGGATATTTATATGATTGAAGCCATTGGTTAAGATCAGCTAAGGGAAACTTTTCTGGTATACAGTACAGTAAAAATAATTCTAGATGTAATGGCACAACCCCTTCCAATAAATCATGCATAGGATCAAAAAGCAACTGCTTGGTGACATCGAAATTTGGAATATCTAATAAAATACTAAAGTTAACAATACCATAATTTCTTGACCATTTTGTTCTATCAGTTTTACTTAGCCCAGAATTCAATTCATTTAAACGTATGACATGTTCAGGCAAATTTCGAATCAGACACTCTTCATGTGTTGTAAACTCAATCATTTCAGCCCGTGTAGAATTACACCGCCTACAGCAGCGAACAGTTTTTTGACTAAATCCTTCTTTAAATCCTCTGATTGAATTTGCTGCTAAAGAATCCCCAGAAAAGTATAAAACCTCAGCTGTAACTGTCATTAACTTTCCAGCAATACTTATTTTTACACCTGTATATAATAGTTGTATCGTTTCTTTAAAATCTTTAAGTAAAAAAGAAAAATAAATGAAATTTTTAGTAAGCTTACTAAATGTAAAAACCAATGGGAAAATAGATGATGTTCTACCTCTATACTTTACAGGAATGTTAAGAATTTGAAAGTACATAACCCAAAGTTTGTGTTTCAAACGAGCTTTACCAATTGGATTTGTAATCCCAATATCATCTGCATAAATAGCTAATTGAATATGATGATGTGTATTTGATACCTTCGTAAACTCTTTAATCTCAGGCGATTGTAATAAAAACTCTAGCATCGTCATAAGTGGAACAACTGATCCTTTACCAACAATCTTTATAGTAGGCATAGAAAATACATTTTTAAAATATTTTTCACGAGAATATTGTGATGATAATTTCTTACAGGAATCATTTAGTTTTTTTACATCATAAATTGGGTTAGTAAATAGCTCTTTTAAAGTTGAAAATATAACATCTAAAACAGCCTGAGAACATCTGTACTTAGACTGCAAATGTAAAGCTAACATACCAAGATAATCATTATTTAAATCATCAACATTATCATACACTATTTGATCAACTATTATATTAGGTTCAGTGTTATCATCAAAAGTATTATTTTCTTTACTACAATTAGCAATGTGCTTTTGATAACCATATAAACTTTTAAACTTGGAAAAACAATTAATACAAAACACTGCGGCATAATTACCATGTAATTTTAAATGATTTCTTATTAAAGTGTAAGTATCTGAAATAAAAGGACAATTAGCACAATAAAATGTTACCTTTCTTTTGGTTATTTGAGGTCTATTGCAGCTGGATGAGTCTGCAACTAACTTTGTACCACTCTCAGTTTCTATAGATATATTTGTTAATGATGTTGTAGAGCAAGCTGAATAATTTTTTAATGATGATTGTGACACATCTCCTTCAATCCCTCTCTTAATTATCAATTTTTTATTGATAATTAAGAGAGGGATTGAAGGAGATGTGTTGATCTGTATTGACAGCAGAATTAATTTGATTTCTTTCTGAATTGTTAAAGTCTTCTAAATGAGCTAAAAACCCGTTTAATGGATAGCTATTTGAAATATCAATGAAACTGGAAACTTCTACTGTCATTTCTACCGATTGCTCACATATTACTGCAGGAAAAGTTAAAGTGTTTACTGCACAACCAAGCCATTTTAAATTTGATATGTTTGGAACATTAAAAGTAGAACAAACTAAAAAAAAAAAAAATTTATAAATATTTTTATTATACATACACATAAACATACATATAACTACATATACATACATACACACACACACACACACACACATATATATATATATATATATATATATATATATATATATATATATATATATATATATATATATATATATATATATATATATATATATATATATATATATATATATATATATATATATATATATATATATAGAGGTCAGCATATATATATATATATATATATATATAGAGGTCAGCATCATGTTAGCAAAAAAAATATTCATATAATTAAATCTGTTAGAGGTCAGCATCATGTTGGCAAAAAAAATATTCATATAATTATTCAAATTTCAGTACTTTCCAAATTTTTTAAAGACTTTGGGAACTCTGTATATAGTTGTATAATTAATTTATATTTTATCAATTTATAAAATAAATCAACTATACTTACTATTTGCCATAAATGCATTTAGATCATTGGATGTGGCAACAACAATTTTTGACTCCCCATTACAAGTAACTTTTACAGCTTTCATATTGAATTTACTCTTTGTGACTTATATATAAAGTTATAAAAAATAATTAGTTTACATATAGACACACACACACACACACACACACACACACACACACACACACACACACACACACACACACACACACACACACACACACATATATATATACACACTCATATAAATTTTATCAATATATATTTATATATATATATATATATATATATATATATTATTTATATATATATGCATATACATACTATATATATAACATATTTTTTATATATATAAAATATATGTTATATATATAATATACATATACATATATAATATATATAATACATATATAAAATATATATATATATATATATATATATATATATAAATAAATAAATATTTTATTTATATATATATTATATAACATATAATATAATATATATATATATATATATATATATATATATATATCATATACATATATAATATGTTATAATTTATTCATAAATAATTGTTGTAATTTATTTATAAATATATGTAATATATTCTATACATTTATAAATAAATTATAACATATATATAAATATATATATATATATATATATATATATATATATATATATATATATATATATATATATATATATATATATATATATATATATATATATATATATATATATATATATATATATATATATATATATATATATGTTAATTATTATTTACATTTCAATTGTATATTTCTATATATTAATTAATTTTTTTTTTTTTGCCAGAAATATGTCGTTCGCGCATTTTAAAGTTATCAAATATAATCTTGAAACGAGGCCTCGTTTAGTAAAAATAGTTAAAACGGCCTCGTTTCAAAATTAAATTAAATAATTTATTCCTGAAAATATAACATCATTTAAACATGTTAAGCATAACGTTAAATATAACATTAAAGTACAAATATAACGTTACTTTAATAATATAACATTATAAATCTAAATATAACGTTACATATAACGTTACAATTTAAACTTTAGAATCAAATGATGTTATAATGATGTTATTTTTTTTAGAGTGTAGAACACTAAAGTTTGCTTAATCAATAAAATTTAAACAAATAATAATAAAGTAGAAGTCTTGTCATCAAGCCCCTATAGTAAGCGTAAAGTACTTTTAACAAATTTCTCATTATATAAATTTACAAATACTCGTTATATAAAAACAAGTTAACACATTATTACAACAAAAATATGATGCATTTAACAATTTAATAAATTTAGAGCTAATAGAAGCGTTTATTCTATTTTAAAATTACCTTTAAAAAAAAATATTGAAAGTCTATTGTATTGAAATATACTAAAAGTATGATTCTTTTAGAACCTGTTTTAAATTTTTCTAGAGAGTAGTATTTTTTATCGGAGTTTTTCATAAGGTCCTCGATATTTAATTCGATAAAAACTTAATTTTAAATTAATTCTCGGAACAATAAAGATATTCTCTGAAAACTTTGTTGGGTACTTATGAATCTAGAAATATAGACTTGGTACCATATCTCATATACCTGAAGAAATATGGTAACTCTAAATTAAACATAATTATACCCGAGGCTGTTTCAAAAGTTTCAAATGGTTATGAAAAAAAAACATGGAATTATTTATTGATTGACAAAAGCATATAATCAAATAAATGCGAAAAAGGGTCTGTATACGATAATTTTTGTTTCTTCGGTATGTAATCAGTAAAAATATATTATTTATTTATTATTATTTATTTTGCCGTTGATAAATATTAAAAAAAAGAAATTAAAATAAAAGAAAATCCTGGCCGGAGCAAGAAGAAGACAGGTTGTCTTATCACCGAGCCCCGTCACACAAACATTTACATGCACAATAAATGATAAAAGACATAAAGACAGTATAAATACAAAAACAAAAACAAATCAAAAACTTCAGCAATAAAATAATTTGTTACTAACAATCTTCCAGCAGAATAATTTTAAAAATAAAAAAGTAAAAACGACAGAGAAAGAGGCTCAAGCTTAGCAGATAGTCCAGATCCATTTTATTACGAAACTAAAACTGCTATCCAATCATCCGAATATAATGAGTTTTTGTTTAAAAAATAGTTATAAACTGAAACTTTCATGTTGTTAAGTAAAAAATTTTATGTTTTAGGTTCATTTTTATATGAATTATGTCGTAGTTTCAAGAACAATAAAAAAGAGCCCTGGAACTGTAAAAAATCTTAAAACTAGTTACTAACTATGTGTTTAATCTTTTAAATACATAAAACAATTTTCAATCATTTTGCTGCATTATTTGTCTAGTTTATAATTTTGGTGTTTTAAGAAAGTGACATAAGCTAGTAATTATGTAAAATTAACAACTGCTAGGACTTTTTGGTGTCATTATGAACCAAATAAAAAAGCATTAATTCCACTAAACTCAAATTATTAAAAGTAGATAAATTAGACATATTGTAAAAGTAGGCAAATTATTGTTTGCAAAATTAAAACTATACCATTTTTAACTGCATGCACCATGCCATTTACAACTGCATTCAAAAATACTAGGATCATGGATGTGCATTCAAAAATACTAGGATCATGGATGAAATAATGGAATAAGTATTCAACCAAAGAAACTCTTAGTAGATGGTAAAATTATATATGACAAGTCAATAGTAGCTGAAAATCTAAACAGCTTCTTTCTTAATATTGGTCCAAACTTAGCTGAAAAAATTCCTTCAGGCTCATCATCGTTTGATTCTTATTTAAAAATATATGATAAGGTCATGGACGAATCTAAACTAGATATTAATGAGTTACGATATGCTCTAGATAATCTTAAAAACAACACAAGTGTAGGTTTTGATAATATTAGCATAAATGTTGTTAAATCAGTTTTTCATATTATAGAAACTCCTTTATATCACATTTTTAATCTTTCTCTTCAATCTGGAACAGTTCCAGAAAAATTAAAAATTGCACGGGTCTTGTCTATTTTTAAGTCTGGCGATGACACAGATTCTTCAAATTATAGACCAATATCAGTTTTACCATGCTTTTCTAAGTTACTCGAGCGTATAATGTATAATAGGCTAAACAGCTACTTAACAGTAAATAACATGTTGTACAACAAGCAATTTGGCTTTAAAAAAAATCATTCAACTGATCACGCTTTGACCGAGTTAGTAACTCAAGTAACCAATGCCTTTAATTTATTGATCTGTCTAAAGCCTTTGACACAGTCAACCATGTCATTCTGTTAAAAAAACTTGAACATTATGGAATAAAAAACAATAATTTACTATGGTTTAATGATTACTTATCAAACAGACAGCAATACATTCAATATGAAAATGTTAAAACGACAAAAAGTATAATAAAATGTGGAGTTCCTCAAGGCTCAATCTTAGGACCGTTACTGTTTTCTCTTTATATAAATGATCTACCTCTTACCTCAAACATACTAAACTTTATTTTGTTTGCTGATGACTCCAATCTGTTTTATTCTCATAGGGATATTAAAACCCTCTTTAAAGTAGTTAATGAAGAAGTAAACAAAGTAAATGAATGGTTTATTTGTAATAAACTTTCACTTAACGTTAACAAAACTAAATTTATTCTATTTCACAAACTAACCAAAACAGGAAACCTTCCTTTAAAATTACCTAATTTTAAAATCAATAATATAAATATTACTAGGCAAACAACTGTAAACTTTTTAGGTATTATTTTAGACGAAAATTTAACATGGAGGAAACATATAAACACTCTTGAAAGAAAACTTTCAATAAACATTGCAATGATGTATAAAGCAAAACCATTCTTGGATATAAGATCTCTAAAAAGTTTATATTTTTCCTTCATACATAGCTATCTAACTTACGGCAATATCGTATGGGCAAGCAACAGCTACGCTAAGTTAAAGAAAATTTATACTAAACAAAAACATGCATGTAGAATTGTATTTGGAGTAAAAAGAACTGTGCCTTGTGAGCCACTTTTACGTAAACTCAATGCATTAAATGTGTTTAAAATTAACATTTTCCTCGTCATACAGTTCATGTATCAAATAAAACATGGACTGTCTCCAGCGATATTCTACCCTTATTTTAGAGAAGTAAGCCATAAATACCCCACCAAGTTCTCAGAAAATAACTTTGTAACTCAAAAGTATAATCTAAAGTTATGTTCTTATTCAATTCAGTACAGGGGTCCAATTTTGTGGAAAAACTTTCAGCATATTGTTAATATTAAAGAAAAAACACTTCCGCAATTCAAATCTAAATTAAGACGTTATTTAGTACTTACGGATTTTAATATACCAGATCTTCTATGTCACTTTTAAAGCTTTAAAATTTATTAAACTAAATTAGCACCATAAATTTAAAAATTTAGACCATTTAACAGTACTAAGAATTTCAATGTCTTTATCATACTTTCATTGAATATATATATTCTCTTAAAGTTACCTACAATTTTCTTGGTATATTTTATAATATTGGAAAAGAATTTTTATTTGAATTTTGAATTATTTTGAAAGAAAATAATATATACAAATGTATATGTCGAATCACATCCAATTTATAACCAAAAACAGAAAATTTTTGTCATTTTTATTACTATATTTTAATCATTTCTTTTTCTTTCTTTTTTTTCAATTATTTTAATACTTTTTTTTTTTTTTTTTTTTTTTTTTTTTAACTTTATTTCTTAACATTTTAAATTGTCTTTTTTAAAATACTTTTGCTTATATATTACGGATTATTGTGTATTACGGATATTTATTTGCGTTACTATTGGGGCTCGGTGATAAGGCTATTTTATGCCTTCTTCTTGCTCCAGCCAATTGTACTTTTTATACTGTTGTACTTTGTAAATATTTTTAACGGCGAAATAAACTAACTAACTAACTAACTAAGGATCAGCTAATTTTAAAATTTCTTTATTATATATGAGTGAATACCAATATAGGGGAAAGGCGCCTATGATGGCATAGCGTCTATGATGGCATACCGGTCATATTTCCATAAATATTGGTTAGGGCAAAAAAGTGATTAGACCATCATGTCTATACTGACTTTACATTATTTTTAGTAAAATACATCCCTTATGCACATAT